CACCTCCCAGAGTGTAAATGGCAGTGTGATCAGGGCTCCATCCTCAGTCTACATTGACTTCCTTGGCTGTAAACTCTATCTGTATACTCATGACTCCCAAGTTGATTTTGCCCTCCCTGGACCTCTTCCTCTAACTTTAAACTTATATATTCAACGACCTGCTTGCCATCTCCAACTGGCGTATAATAGGTATCTCAGAATCAACATGTGCACAGCTAAGCACTGGTATCCACGTCCCCTGCCTCACCCCAAAGCCCTGCTTCGCCTATATTTCCCCCACTTCTGTAAATATCAACTTCATCCTTATAGTTGCTCAGGCCCAAACCTTGGAGTTACACTGCACTGTTCTCTTTTTCACACCCTACGTCTGAACCACCCACCAGTCCTGTTGACTCTACCTTCAGGCTATATCCAGAATCCAATCATGTGTCCTGTCCTCTGCTGCCACCACCCTGGGTCCAGCCACTGTCACCTCTTGCCTGGGTCATTGCAGGGGCCTCCTTACTGGTCTCCCTGCCTGTGCTCTTATCTTCTTTAGCTCACTCTCAACATAGCAGCCAAGTGATCTCGTTAGACTAAAAATCATTCATATCACTTCTCTGCTAAAAACCCTGCAGTGGCTCATCTCACGCAGAGTGAGAGCCAACGTCCTCACGGTCACCTCTAAGTCCCACATCATCTGGCCCCACGTGACCATGCTGGTCTCATCTCCTTCAGTCCCTCTCGCCCTCCCCTCCAGCTGCATCCTGGCTCGTGCTGAGTGCACCCCAGTTTAGACCCTTCTCATTCACAGCTCTCTCTCCTGAAAGAGCCTTCTCCCAGCTCTCTCCATGGCTACCTGCCTCACTGCCTCTGGTCGTTTTCAAATGTGGCTTTCTCCATGGGCCTTCCCTGGCTTCTTATTTAAGATCTCATCACCCATCCACCCACCCCCAGCATTCCTCTACCCCCTTCTCTTCTTTACTCTTCTCCGTGGCACATCTCCAGCTGTGATTTCACGTATTTATTTCATTTATCGCATGTCTCTTGCCACTGGACTGTAAGCCTCTCTGAGTTTTCATTTTTCTGCTAGTGAAATGGAGAAAGCCTGCCTGCCTGTCACACAGCGTTGCTGTGCAAGTTGGCTAGAACAATGTCTGAAGGACCAGCACGGATAAGATCTTGTCGTTTACCAAAGCGTCTGGCCCTGACTGAATGCCAGAGCTTTGCATGTAGGACTGTCTCATTTAATTCTCACATCAAATCAATGAGATATGAACTCGCATTATTGAACTCATTTTACAAATCTGAGAAAACTGAGGTGCACCAAAAAGTTAAGTGAATTACCCACCAGCTAGTAAACAATAGAGCCAAGCTTTGAACCCAAGCATTTTTCCCACCATGTTCTCCTTGCATAAAATGAATGCTTTAATAACTGATTAGAGTGATGGAAAGGATTTGACCTGAGGTGGAACTTCTGTCTCCAGACTATTTTTCTCTTGACTGTTAATCAACGTAGCATTTCCCCTATGTTATCCCACCCCCCTTCCCTTTAACACAAACAGGCAGAAATTTCTGTCTTCCAAAAGAAAAAGGTACTGTCAGCCACTCCTCCATCTTTCCCCTCCCCGCCCAAGGAAGGAGGCTCTATCATATGCCCCTGAGGTTTTTGTTGCATGGTCTAACCAAATCCAGATGGTTGGTTTTCTCAAGTTCAGTCCTCATACTTAGTAAAGTATTTGTAGTTATCTACTGAAACAAATTCTGGACTTAATTGCAAACACCCGCTTCCCAAATAACTTATTCCATGCTCTTCTGCCTTGTTTGTGTTATGGCCTTTCTGTGCTAATGAATTTGTAAATGTGGTTTAATTACTGTTTACCAAAAAATAGCTGCACACACAGATCAGTCTCCGTGGGAGACTTAGCCAAAATGTTGAGGCAATTTGTTTCTAGAGCAAAAACCATCTAATAAATGAGAAGCACTTTTTAAATATTGGGAAAGAAACTTAAGTTTAGTTTTGAAGAAGCAACGCTTTCTATATCTAGGGAAATAAATCATTCTTTAAGAGTATAGATTTAAATATCAAAATGGCATTTTTCCCCAAGGCTACACACATAGCAATTTGTACATAACCAGATTATAATAACGGTGAGTTGATTGAAAACCACACCAAAGAGCTATATCCTAAAGAACCTCCCAGAAGGAAAATTTGAAATTACTTGTAAATTCCATAAAATGTTTCAGAGCTCTATAAACCCATGTATTATGTATTACCTCATGTTTCTAAATTCTGGCTTCAGGCAAATTGCTAACTTAGCAACTAAATGACAATTTTAAAATTCTAATACAAACCAGCCTCTCTAACTTTGTTTTTTTAATCTCCAGGAAAAAAAAAAAAGGACACAGAGGAAAGTGAAAGATATTGGAATGTTCAATTTATAAATTCTGTTTCTGCTCCATTTGGAATTCTAGTTTAATTTTGCTTTTGCATAAAATGATGTTTGCTTGATTCTGCATAAAGAGGGAACTCTAAAAGGAAGTTCATTCCTGCAGCTGTTGGCCATGCTAATAGGAAGGATGCTCCATCCTCCCTACACTTTGGGATGCCTGCACATGAGCAAGGCAAAGCTAGGTTCTATCTCCAACGCAAAACTCAAAAAACAAAATGAATCAACTTGGCAATTAATACAGATTTCTCATTATTGCCTGAACTAGGGATGTTCCAAAAGAAGCTTGAGCCCGTGTGAGATACAAACACTGCCTTGTAGGAATTTATTTTCATGCAGTGAGGCCACCAGACAGGCAATTCAATATAAGACATCCTGAGACCAAGTCTTAACTGCCAGATAGCTTTTAGTGTGTCCAATAGCGTTCTGAAAACCAGGCTCTCATGCTTCTGGCAAAAAGCTTCCTTTTCCAAGACTAGTCCATATTTCCGTGTTGTAATTGCCTTTCTGTCAGTCATTCCTGCATTTAGTAGTTCACCACGTGCCACTGTGGTGGCCCTGGCAAGACAAAGTAGCCCCATGGAGACTCTGCTTCCCTCAAGGGACTGACCTTGTAGCAGGAGGGAGATAGAGAGAAACAAAGCACTGTAACGCGTAAAATCGCAAAGAAAATCGGCAGTCATGATTAAAATGGGGATGTGTTGTCTTCCAGATATTCTGTAATTTTCCAAGCCTTTCAGGACTTTTTCCAATAGAATAAAAATGCAAAATATAAGTGCAGAGCACCTTTATGAGACCACACTTAAATCATATGACTCCATAACTAGGAAGGAAGCTCAGATATCACCTCCCCCAAGAAAGCTCCCTGTAGCACCCTGCCCCCGTGGCTGGGACATCCTTCCTAGGTACTCTCACTGCACTCACTGGCCACTCTGGATACGTGTGTGACGGTGGCAGGGGAAAGGGCAGAGTTCAGAAAGTCTTTGCTCACAAAGGGAACCTGTAGCCCCCTGCCCACTGGAATTTAGGGTCCCTAGATGTGCTCCAAGTAGATATTTGAGGGCCAGATCACAGATCACTTGAAACTCACTCACCAGCCTTCTGAAAGGCCGACAAAACTCGTCTGGTAATGATCTACATTCTGCAAAGCTGGGAGGAGGGGAACAGGCTAGATCCTACCGTGCAAAAGAATTTTTACCTTATTATTTCACTAAGGCAGCCTGAGTCTCTTTCCCCAGAAAGACAGCCCAAAAAGTTAATCTCAGACTGAACAAAGAGGATGAATGAGTTCTCACTCTACCTTCAAGATATGTTCATTGGATGCCTTGTCATCAGGGGACACATGAACTCAGAATTGCTATATTGACCACGAAATGTTGCTATTCTATCATATTGTCCCCTCACTGTCACCACCACCCCGACACACACAGATAGGTGCCCTTAGGAAGGAGGGGACATGTCTTATTCTTTGCATCCAAATCACCAGACGTGTCCAGTGATGCTGCTCGGCAAATGGCTGTGAATGGCTGTGAATGGCTGTGACTGGGAAGATGACAATTGCAGGGATTTCCCATCCAGTAAAAGTCCTCTTTATTCCCCACACTGTATTAAGTTAAAATATATATACAACAAAAGGGTGTGCATTCTTGTTTTTTAAAAATGTAAATGTATTAAAACATATGTTAATACCATATTTAAATAAGTATGCATATTAAAAATCTGGGAGAATATACACCAAAATGTTAGCGGTGGTTATCTCCAGGGGTTAGGATTTGAAATGATGCTGACTTTTTTCTTTCATGCATCACTGTGTTGTTTTCCTGTGGATGTGTGCTACTGTTATGATAAGAAAATACAAAGTTATTTGTATTTTAAAAAGGAAAGTGTGGCCTATTTCATAAGCCACAATCCCATAAGACATAAATAATTTTATGAAGCATCATCTTTACGATCTCAACCCAAGGTCATCAGTGATTTACTCTGTGAATTTAAATTACTGAAGTAGCTCAGTGGTGTTTAGTGGTATTAGATAGGTTTGTTTCCATTTTCCTTCCTCATGTCTGTGTTTATAATATTCAGAAGGTACCCAAGCAGCACTTTATTTGCAAATATTGTAGCAATAAAACATGCTAAATTCTCTTTTGTGGTCTCTCTCTCTCTCTTCCTTTTCTTTAATCGTCTCTGCTAATTAGAACCCCAGCCTTCTTAAATGCAGGCTCAACCTCTTGCAACCTGATAAACAAACCAGAACTAAGTAATCAATTAATTCTCCCTCCCTCTGCCCTCCTCCCCTGTCCGCTTCTTCTCCCTCTCCCTCTGGATCTTTGCTTTCAGGCTGGCTCTGTAGAAAAGAAATATCAAATTTTCTGGTTAGTGATATTTCTGTCCTGCATATCCACTGGCCTGTGTTTCTATTATTTTGTTTGGCTGCCTGCTACGTTGCAAAACTTAGACAATGTTATTGGACTAGTATAAAGTTTGTTTTTTCTTTTCCCCAAAGGAACAATCACAAATTATAAAACGTGCTTCTAAAGAACAGCTCTAAAAAATCACACATGCTTTCTTTTCTATCTGCAGCTGAACTCTCGCTGCCAGGATGGGCAAACAGAACAGCAAGCTGCGCCCGGAGGTCATGCAGGACTTGCTGGAGAGCACGGACTTCACGGAGCACGAGATCCAGGAATGGTACAAAGGCTTCTTGAGAGACTGCCCCAGCGGACATTTGTCAATGGAGGAGTTTAAGAAAATATATGGGAACTTTTTCCCTTACGGGGATGCTTCCAAATTCGCAGAGCATGTCTTCCGCACCTTCGATGCGAATGGCGATGGGACAATAGACTTTAGAGAATTCATCATCGCCCTGAGTGTGACTTCGAGGGGGAAGCTGGAGCAGAAGCTCAAATGGGCCTTCAGCATGTACGACCTGGACGGAAACGGCTACATCAGCAAGGCAGAGATGCTAGAAATCGTGCAGGTATGTAGCCCTGGCCCTTTAAAAGAAAAGAGCGTGTGTCACCAGTAAGGATTGGAAGGCGCACAGTGTAGAATGGTGTGGACGTGGCAAACTGGTGGGTCGCCAGGGCACTGTATTTGGCTGACCCAGTGTTTTTGAAAAGTTTGAACCCACATTACAATACAGGGAGGCGGTGCATAAAAATCCACACTGGTTGGCATCTCTTGAAAGCCCAGCAGCTCTGGCCACCCTGGGCCCACACTCTTGCCTGTTATTAGTCACCTGGGGCTTTGTGGTGATCCCTACACTACAGATGAACATGCTCATTATGGCCACTCCATCGACTCATTGCAATGACCTGCCTGGACTTGGGCCTTTGGGGTTCTACCCCGGTTCAGTAATCAAGCTCTGGCCTGGGTTCAAATCCTGCATTGTTCAGTCACTACCACCATGACTGACCAAGTTAGTTCACCTAAGTGAGCCTCAGTGTCCTCATCTATAAAATGGAGCTACCAGCGGTAGCCACCCATGTCGTGGGGCTATTCTAAGATGAGATGTGACTCTCCGTGTTAAATGCTTGGTACAGTGCCAGCCATACTGAAAGCTCATCATCATCACCATCACTAATTTACAACTTTATCAGACTCTTGAATAACAGCAGGGATCCAACTCCAGGCCCCATCCCATCAGAGATACAAACACTGTAGAATCCAGGCCTCCCTCACTGTAGTAAGAGGCACTCCACGTTATTTCCCCTGAGCACACTCCGAGAGCAAGTTTCCTGAGCAGAACAGGAGAATGGGCCCCAGTGTTAGCTACATTTTCCTTGTGGGCCCACAGCACATGTGGGGAGGTGGGGAGGCAGGGTAAGGAGCTTGGGTCGTGGCAATGACAGGGGGCTCAGCAGTGGGTGGGACCCAGAGACAAGCCTGAGGAGACAGAGACAGGACTCAGGGCTGCAGCTGCAGGCCACAAGAAGGACTAAGTGGTGGGCAGCCCCGGGGAGGCTGGCAGGCAAGAGGGACACAATAGGCAAGCATCTGGCAGAGACGGCGGGTCCGAGAGAGTGGGCCTTTGGCTTCCTGGAGGGCTTGTCTCGGAGGCCAACACTCATCGCAGGACACCCGGGTAGATGTCCTGCAGAGGGAGAGCTGTGGCCCCTGTGGAACTGTTGGGGTGTTGGACAGGTGAGAGACATAATACAAGGAGACAAAAAGAACTCAGCTACTGGTGAGGATGAGGGTGGGGTACAGTGGTACTTGCCTACAAAAAAACTACAGGGAACCTGATTTGGAAATAGGGCCAGAGCTCAAAAGAGACTTGCAAGATGACCTGTTAGTGGGCCTTGAAGCTGAGGCCTAGGGCTTGCTCCCCAGGCCAGTGGGACTGAAGCCACATGGGTGGTTAAAGTGACAACCGTAAACATCAGCGAGATGCAGAAGTAGATATCGAAAGTGACCCACCCTCATCACTGGGACTCTCCAGGATCTGCCTGTTCCTCCTTTCTGGTTGGGCCACCAGTGGCTTCTCCTTCATCCAGAGCAGTACCTATCTGAATAAATTGTGTCAAATTAGTCCCTCAGAGATGTGGCTCTTAAAATAAAAATAAAGCATCTCTCTCTTCCCCTGAAGATAAACATATGCAAAATAAAACATCTTCTGTAAAAATATGGGCAGTATAGAAAAATATGAAAGGTAAAGAGAAATATCCATAATTCCACCCTACCTACAAAGAGAATCACTGCTA